AGGGGGAATAACTCAGTACGCTATAGTTGTTCTCCAGAGTGTCATGTTAAGTTGCCACTTACAATGGAGTACGATAGATTGGAATCGTTGTTATGTAAAAAAATGAGTGTGAGAAAACGGTAGGTTAATAATAAAGTAACAGGAAAATATCTGTATTCTGTTACTTCGTAAGGGGTTGCTTGTTATGCTGAGTTTAACATCGACGACGATGAAACTCTGACAGATTTTTTGAGGACTCCGGATGAACACCGGGAACTTCTTGTGATAAAAATGTTAGAAATGTACGTCAAGGTTGAAAACGGTCGCAATATTGAGTTTCCACAAAATATGGATAACCCTCAATCATCGAGTGGTTTTTTTGGAGCAGTTTTATCCGAACAGGTGCCGTTTGAAAGAGTTTGGCCGGATCTAAACTTATCTCCACGGGCGAATGAGGAGCGAGAACATAATTTCTCCCCAAGTTTACATAATTCACAAGCTGAGTGGTAAATTTCAATTTTCCTTTGTATTACGATATTTTTTATGTATTGTATTAGTATTAACACTCATATATTCCAAAGGGGGTACCGGCCAGATATGAATTTTACAAGTTATGGTTGGAATATGCCTAGTTTTGGTGTGTTGGATCATGGTGGTCCATCCGGGAGTCATCAGCAACAGGATAATGTGCATCATGGGATATCAACAGAATATGATTTGTAAATTAAGTGATAAAGTTTATATGTAATGTTTGGATAAATTTGAGAAACTCATTATTTTATTGATTGTGCAGTAAAAACGAGTAACTTTAAGGTCCTATCCCTACTCAATTGCCCGAAGACGATATATTTAATCGGGATCTGGCAGATGCACAGAGTCAGGAAGATAGTAGTTATTATGACAACAATGCTGATGAGTCTGGAGATGACACACCCTTCGCTGATGATGATGAGGACGAGAATGATGAACCTGATTTGACGAGGGAGTGTGATTCCACCAATGAGCATGCTCCACATATGCAGACTCCACCTCCCGTTAGACCGAGAGTGTACGTCCCATGTGCCGTTTCATTCAAGGGAGATTCCCTACCTTGATTAGTTGCCTAGTATGCCGGATGTGGATGCCCTCACAAGGGATTTTGACGACATTCGGACAACAATGTGGGATGAATCTAGACCAACAATGCTGTCAAAGAACATGTTTTTTGCTAATAAAGCGCGCCTAGGCATGGCGGTGCGGATGTACAACATAAAAGAGTGTCGTGAGATCGTGTCATGAGTCATCTTCGAAAATATACAAGGTTATTTATCGTAGATGGTTTCAAGGTTGTACATGGATACTGCGTGCGAGAAAGTTCAAAACAAATATGTGGATTGTGGGGAAATATATTGGCACCCACACTTGTGAAATGGACACATTCAATGGGAATCATTTTAAATTGAATGTTGACTTGATTTCTCTTGTCTTGATTCCACACATTGAATCGTCCATAAGGTACAAGATTAAAGAGTGTATAACATTTGTCCACCAAGTATATAGATGTACTATTACCAAAAGAAAAGCATTTCTCGGGCGTAAACATGCGTTTGAGATTGTTTATGGTTAACTGGGATAAGTCTTTTGCCGATCTACCCAGGTACATGGTTGCATTGCAATACTTTAACCCGGGGACTATTGTTGAATGGAAGCTTGAGCGGATTTCGGGAATACAAGAATCCATATTCAGATATGTGTTCTAGGCATTTAAACCAGCCATTGATAGTTTTGTGCATTGTCGGCCGGTAATATCCATAGACGATACTCATGTCTATGAAAAGTATGATATTAAGTTATTGATCGTCGTTGCAGTAGATGCTAATAGAAGCATATTTCCCCTCGCATTTGCTATTTGTTCCAATGAAAGCCAAGACACGTGGACATTATTTTTGAACCACTTGAAGGAGCACGTTATCAGACAACGTTCAGGTATTTGTCTAATATCTGATCGTCATGGCGGTATTTTAAGTTCTGTACAGAATTTGCGTGCATGGCAGGAACTGATACCTACCACCGTTACTGTGTTAGGCACTTGAAGGCCAACTTCCAGAGGGCTCATCCGAACAAGGACTTACGTTATTTAATGTGGATGGATGCAATTGTAACGACCCGGCCGGTCGTTTCATGAGTTATAGCCCCATTTCCCCCATTTCCGCTTCCTTTTGTGTTCCTCAGCTATATTTGACCGTATCGCGTTGGTTGGTTCGGGTTCGGAGTGGTTTTGGAGTGAATTGAGACAGTTGGTCTCTTTTGTGAAGGC